GAAGGTCAGGCCTCTGCTATATCATATTATTTGGTGGGAGTGCCGATGAAGCAAACGTATGTCTGTTATAGCAATCGACAACGTTACTTATATTCGTATGAAAGTAGGGTTTCGAGACTACTACATCTCATTAAACTGATTTACTGGTAGTCTCAAAAGCCAACTCACTTACGAATATAAGTAATGTTGTCGATTGCTATAGCAAATATACCACCAAAGAATATGATATAGCAGGGGCCTGACCTTCGTACCGTCCTGCACTGTCGCGGTTCGAATCCCGCTGAGGGTGTTGATAGGACCGATGCGAGATCGAAACTGCAGTCCACTTCTGTCTAGATGAGAACAACTTTTGGCAAAGCAAGGCTATGTGAAATTCAATGGAAACGACAAGCTCAACTCATATCATTGTGGGAAAATTCTACTACCAATCCTTCATCACCTTACACGAAATAGGGAGAATACATCTCATTACAATAGAAAACAATGCCTGATGTCTGCAGGCATGGAAATCAGAGACTAGATGTTATGCCCAGTGAGGCCAAAGCTTTGCGGCAGACCATGAGAAGTAGCGTCCGGAATAAAAAACACGCGAATAAAAGTTGAGTTTCGAGGAATCATTTGTTTCATAATTGTTGAGCTTACTTCCATTTCGAGTGAAAGTGTTGGGTGAAGAGATTCGAAGACGATGGCAGATTCCTCTTGACCAGCAATCTCCTTCGATTCCGGTGAAAAGGTGCTAAGCTTTCGTCCGTCATATGACGAACATCATCAGAGCGAGGTACCATTGTCACAACAAAATTCGAGCTGACGAGTCAAGAAAACTCACCGGCAAATCCTTAAAAATTGGTCTATTTGATCAAGTATAAAGTGAATCGGTTGGTTACGGTCATATGTCAACTTCGATGCCTGTGAGTGTGTCTGTCTCTGTATTTGTATGTGTCTGTTTGTGTTCGCTTATGCACGAGACCCGAAGTGATGGCTCAAAGTAATTAGGACAGCAAAAAGGAACG